ACGTGACGGAACGCCGGACATCGTGGCAGGAACCCTACCGTATACAAAACGACCTGGACATAAAATGTCCTTTCCTCACTCGTCTTTCATCTCATCAACAGCTAAAGAACAAGACAAAAGAACTTATAGGACGGAGTGAGAGTCTGAAACTCAACGCGCGCGATGATTCTCTGCACAATGGTACCTTTGGTTTTGGTTACCACATCGATTATAATTTCACGGCTCACCTTTGTCAGCACACATTTAGACTAAAACAGTCTTTAGCCCTCTTTACGCCACTCTTTATACCTGGGGCCACTCCCTTTGGCCCCCTCCCGTTACTATTAGCCCTCAGAGGGCGCTTTTAGCCTTACCAACTTGTTCATACAACAGTTGATTGGTAAGTCCTTTGAGGACGACGTTGGCTCTACAATAGTGGAGGTGGTTTTTGGGAGGCGAACGAAGTCCCAGTCAAGAAACTAGTTTAACTATTAATACGAACTTGTGTACGCTAACGAGACTCTACTGTACAAATAAGGTGTGAGCATTAGTTTCGTTTGTACCATTGCACTGAGAGCGGCCGAGTACGGGGGGAGGAAGACGTCCCCCGCACCAGCGTCACGAAGTCTTAAAAGTTTCTGTCCGAACTTATCTCGCTTTGCTAATAAGCATGTTAATGTTAATCTAACAGCTCCGGCGATTTTTCATTTTGAAATGCTCCCGATTTCTGAGGTCTAAAGGTTGGCAAGTATGGTTGATAAGCTGTTGTCCCTATTTATTTTACTCTGTTTGTTACGATGCTTGCTACTTATTCCGTTCATATTTTGACTAATTACCAAGAATGCAATGTGTACAGTTTGTAACTTAGAGTTTGACCCAGCAATAAGTCTCTGAAAGGCGGGGATTAATTCTGTGGATAGAGGCAGAGCGCAGCGGCAGGCAGGCTGCGTCACCTCACTTTGTAACCCAGGAAAGGAGCAGGAATCCTGGGTACGTGAGTGTTAAAAGTGCATTAAACTGTTTTAATCCGACAGCCGCTGATGTGCACGGAAGTCTGTCCGTTTCGTTAACATTTGAATAGCCAAATGGACGGAAATCCGTCCTACAGAATATGCGAATGAGAGGTTTGGCAATGCACGTGAGCGTGGCTCATTCCCCTGATAGGTGGAGAGTTGACCAATAAGCGGAGCACCTCTTTGTGACGTAGAAAAGTGTTGAAATCTGGATCCGTTTTTTTCAGATCCGTTGCAGCCCCTTTTTTTAGAGATTTGGCTAAGGAGGAAAATAGAGAGGGTTGTGTTTTCTGACACTTGGTGAGTTCCCTGGAACACCGGGGACACATATTCATGTATAAAAGACGTACAAAGGTGCATTTTGCATGATAGGTCCCCTTTAAGTATACTGTGTCAATAGTTGCGGTATGAGCATCTGCCGAGGCTGGCCAGGCTGGTAGAATTGGTGTACTCTTCCTCCTGTGTCCTCGTCCTCTCCTGTCACCTATGACCCCTTTTATACATCCTTGAACACAAATAGTTTGCTCATAAAACAAATATGAGAAAATGTATGTTTTTTGGAATGATGATGGCGCTAGATGAGGAGTCAGAGGATAACCAACGTTTTTTAAATGTATCCAGTCTCTTGCAAGTGTAGCAATTTATTCAATAATTGTCGATACACTCAAAACCATAAATGCAGAAAAAGGTAAAAAAGGCAGAAAATATTTAGCTTGGGACCTTGTAAGCCATTTAACATTACAAAGCAATTCCACAACTGCAGCATGTGAGGCAGAATAATGTGTGTTGCTGTATCTGTTGCTACTTGAGTGAATTACTTGTCAAAACAAGTTATAATCAAAGCTAAAAGCATCTCCTAAGTGGCACAATTTCAAACTGCAAAACGGAGTCGGCATGGCTTCATATGTCAAAATAATGCGTTCTACATTGTGTTCAACAGCAGTAAACAGTACAAATGATGCACCCTCGCAGGAGAATATAGCATGAAGCAATTAGATGTTATAGTGCATCTCCAGCACGGTTAAAAGTAATTTTGTACATCCTGAGGTGATAAACGACCAACCTAAAAAAAAAAGAAGCCTTATCCTTCCGACTCGGTAAGTATATGGAAGAGCACATTTTCAAAGGCAAGACAGTAAATCAGCTGTGAAGACTGACAGCTGAGGATGTTGTGCGTGTACTGTACACGTATGCCCATGTGCAAAGGTTTATATTTGCTCTTATGTGATTGTATATTCGTCCCAGGCCCGGAGCGGGTGTGGCGTCTATAAGGGCCGCAGACGAGACAGGGATTCATCCTGTCTGAATGCAGCTTATCACCGGACTGGCTGTCTCCCTAATGAGATACCAGCAACCCTGCATTTTAAATGTGGTGGACGGAAATCATGTGCATAAACAGAAGAATGAATAACCAATTATTTGTCTAGACGAGATCAAAGTCTCTCCATAACAATGTTTAAGTGATGACTGCCTCACTGTTTATCTGTTGATTTGCAGCCTTTTGAAGGTGAGTTAAAAACACCTAGACAGAAATATATATGCACTGTTGTTCTGTGCTTACACCACCAAGGTCCCCTTACAAAATGTGTTCTGATCAAGTGAAACTGCATTGTCAATAATGTCTTAAGGGAAACACATAACAAATACGATTCTAATCTAAGTCATTGGAATATTGGATGAACTTCCACCAAGAGCCAAACCATGATGTTTTATTAAACCTAACCAAGTTTTGTTGCGTTTTTTGTCTTTGTTTCAATTTAAATTCTTTATCCTTGTGCACTTAAGTTATATGGGAATGTAATTATGTAGGAGACAAAGTTGGCTTTACTGCCTTTATTGCTACATAATTTGCATTTTTGTTGTCACTGATTGCATCAAGAAACAGGTGAGATCTATCACGTTGACATTACTCCAAGTTCCCTCACTCATTACAAAGGGAGAAAGCAGGACTACAAGCATTTGGAGTCCAATGAGCCATGTCCCCACACTGATCTTTCTAATGCCACGAATGCCCAAACCCACGGTGACAATGAGCGACAGTCCACATTCAGAGGATCATCCCCATTAGCCCTCATTCTGCTCGTATCCATCTGCACATTCCTCTGTAGGCCCGGTGTCGAGGGGTGATAGGCTACGCTAAATGTGATGCATTAGGTGCCAGCGAGTAAACAGAGGCTTGCAAATATGTTATTAGCGCCCCTACACAACAGCGTCTAATGGGGATCCAAAGAAAGAATAAAGGCTGCAGCATGTTGCAACTTTTGCATTACTGACACTGAAGGGCATTCCTTCCAAAGACCAGGGGACTAAAAGAGGGACACTGCCAACTGCTGTGAGATCCCAGTTGATACAAAATGCCAAAAAGAGTGAAGAGCACTAATCGGCAATGCTTAAAGAGCGGAAAAATGTGTGTGTGTTTTTAAAGCTGATGTTTTTCCAGCCCATCTGGAGCCGTCATTGTCCTTTCTGTTGACCTCTGTCGTGAAACGGGGGACTGTCTGCAACTGTGACGCAATGACAGCAGACATTACGTTTGAGTGACAACGGGGAGTGGATGCCAAAGCATGAAATAACAAAGTCCTCAACTTTGGATCACACTATATGGTTCTATATGAGATATAGAAATACATAGTTTAGGAAGTTTGTTGGATAATTATAAAAATAGTCAATTATATTGTCCATGACATATTTTTGGGGTAGTTCAGGAGTAATGTCAGTTTTAATTTCACATAGTTTATGCAAATGTAGACATTATATTAGCTCAACCTCTGGTGTTATTAAGCCTGGTTCCAGTCGAAAATATGTATGCACACCCATTGGCGCCATTAATCATCGGCTAACAAACACCAAGCTGTCCCAAATGCACCGGGCATGCAAGAGGCCTACGAAAAGCCTCATCTAAACAGACTTTGACACAAACTCCAGGATTTCCCAGGTGTTTGGGAGGCATGACATCACGGGAGGACACAATGAGGACTTTGAGAGGTGCCGGTGAGAACAGTCAGCAAAACAAGCTCGGCTCCATACATCAACAAAAAGGCCCCTTCTAAATAATATGGAAAGTGGAGATGAGAGCCAAAGTAGTTCACAAGCAGCTGAATCCAGTTAACGCCTGGAAAAAAATATAGAAACATTTGAAGAAGGGGGATGGGGGGGTGAACACCCCAATGTCTGACAATTTGGAGGGGTGTGTGTGTGTGTGTGGTGACAGCTGAGGGGGTATGTATATTCAAAGAAACAACATTCTTCCTCACAGCGTGACTTTGTGTGGACATGGACTCCTAGCTCGTCTATTTTTTGATTCTGGGACTCTGGAAAACAACTGGGTGTTTGTGTGCGAGCCGTAAGCTGTCAGCTTTACCTTATTAAAATGTCAAT